AAAAAAAAAAAAAAGGAATATTTGCCTTTCATGCCCTCAAATAGTATCATTCTACACATAATCCCTACATAGTCTCCAAATAAATAAAACAAACTAAATTAACTTGTTTTTAGAGAATCAATATCAAAACTACTTGCAAAAGATCTATAATTTTATTTTATTTTTAAGTTATGTGAAAGTAGGTAATCTCAAATCTTATTCATAAATCAGGAATAAATCTCAAGAATATTTCACCTGTTTTTCCTAAAGTTGATCAAAATATAATGAAATTTATAAACTATCATCACAGATATTATCATTCCCTTGACAAACCATGAATTTTGAACACTTCAGCCTTTGATCTCAAAACCCCTGGCACAGAAATTCCAGAAGTTACATTGAATAGAGCAGGGGTCCTCAAACTATGGCCCTCCAAGGACATATATCCAGCCCATGGGGTGTTTTTGCCGCCGCTGCTTATCCTACTTAGCAGCTGACTTGTCCCAGGCCTGCAGTCTGGCCCTCCAATGGTCTGAGGGACAGTGAACTGGGCTCCTGTTTAAAAAGTTTGAGGACCCCTGGAATAGAGCTTGCAAATAAATGGGGGTCTAATGATGCTCTGGAAAGCCCAGTTATAAGGAAAATGTATCTAGTCAACTAAGAAAAGAAATAAGTTCTAAATAGTTGTCAAAAAAAGTTCTGGAAACGGGCTGGGTGAGGTGGCTTAACGCTTATAATCCTAGCAGCCAAGGCAGGTGGATTGCTTGAGCTCAGGAGTTCAAGACCAGTCTGAGCCAAAGTGAGACCCCAGCTATTTTTGCCAAGTGTTATGACAGGCACCTATAGTCCCCAACTACCTGGGTGGTAGAGGCAAGAGAATCACTTGAGCTATGTGAAGTTGCTGTGAGCTGTAAGGCCATAACACTCTACTAAGGGTGACAAAGTGAGACTCTGTCTAAAAAAAGAAAAAGTTCTTGGAACAATAAAGGATTCTTAAGTGAAGGATATCTTAGGACAAAGAATAGAGAATACTCAGAGTTACAGAATGACCAGACTGAAGCTTTGTCAAACTGATGGGCATAATCATCTATT